ACTACTTACTTATATCCCTGTGTAACCATCCTACTGAGAAGACTACTTACTTATATCCCTGTGTAACCATCCTACTGAGAAGACTATTGACTTATATCCCTGTGTAACCATCCTAAGTAACAATAACGGTTTAAACAGACTAAAACTTAATACATGCTAAAGACAGGATGACTGTTTAAACTGATAATAAAACTTAATACATATCGAAGACAGGATGACAATATGAACCGAGAAAAAAACAAAAAACATTATACATATCGAAGACAGGATAACGGTTTAAACAAAAAATATAACTTCATACATATCGAAGACAAGATGACGATTTGAACTGATAATAAACTTCATATGTATTGAAGACAGGATGATGGTTTAAACTTAAAATAAGACTTGGTACATATTGAAGACACGATAACTGTTTAAAATGAAAAAAGCATTATACATATCGAAAATAGGATGACGGATTAAGTGAAAATAAAACTTTATACATAATGAAGTCAGGGTAAGATCTTCATGAGAACATAAAACCGTATATTAGTTTTGGAATTATTTTAAACTGTCAGACGGTAAATTTAATCACTGAACCGGATTTTAAATCCCTAAATATAACTTTAAGTACTTCCACTTTCAACACGAACGTTACTAGTCTCTTCTTTGAATTACAAAGTAGGTCGAATTATGTCTCTAAAAAAAAATCTTACCCATAAATGGCGTCTTTGTCCCGATTGTGAACGCAGGTCACATGATCGGCTACGGGATGATACTGACGTATGTGGGAACCGTGAGTTAGGTCGGATATTTGTCGATGGCCATGGGTTTGGTAAAGAGGTGCTGGTCGGTCTATCGGACCAAAATGTGAGATATCTTCATCGTATTGCATGGTGGTCTCTTACCTTAACTACCACACAACTTTAACGTACGATAAGCCTATCAGTTCACACTTGATTTGTTACACACCCTGAGTGTATCTATATATAAACATATAAGGTAACACTAAAGTCAGATATTGTCTATGGTTCAAGACCCCATAACAGCTTCGGGACCCGTTACACTTAGCAGCTCTTAAAAGTTAAAGTCGAACTTGTCAATCAGATGCCTGTTATAATAAACATTGGTCGTTGTGTGGCCTCGCGGCATGCTCCTTCAGCTTCAACGAGGGTAACCCATCTTTCCTACGCTGGAATAAAACCCCACTTCTCTAGCCGTCAACCAATTGGTAAAATAACGTACCATAACACGCGCATCTTCTGCTCGCGCTGTGATGAGCGCTTCTCGGTTGCTTCCATTAATGTTCAGGGAAGGATGGGAAAAAAAAGAGAGGGGGTAGTTTGTTTCTAAGAATTTCAGTTCTCAAATAACATGAAATGATATACTTACTTTGCCCGAAACAAATGTTAGTCTACGGAAGAGTTGTTGAATTCTGGAAAACCATTTGTATAATATGAAAAAAAAAACAATATGTACCTATAGGTGAGATCAGGTGGCCAAGTATTCTGGCCACGGAAGGGTTAGGCTACTCTTAAAGAACAACCAATCAGAATAAAAGCAGAAACAATGTTAAACAGCGGTTGTGATTTAAACAAAACTTTCTTGCTACTAAACAATATTTGATGATTTGGATAAAAACTTCTTGGTACTAAACAATATTTGGTAATTTCGATAAAAACTTCTTGGTACTAAACAATATTTGGTAATTTGGATAAAACTTATTGGTACTAAACAATATTTGGTAATTTCGATAAAACTTTCTTGGTACTAAACAATATTTGGTAATGTTACGTCTCCAGTCGTTAGTTAATTTTCCGTAACTTCGTTCCCACGAAACTTTAGCGACACAAGTCCTTTCTTAAATAAAACTGGTTTATTCTTTTCGAATACAACTTTACGATACACTTAATTTCAAAAGTCGCGCTATAACAACGAACTTCTCACGTGCACAGTTCAATTACACACTCTCTGATTGCAGTTCAATTACTCATTACTTGCACTCTGTCCGGTCACGTTGTGACCATCTTATATATACCAGCCTACCCCCAATCTAGTAATCTCCCGACAATTCACGAAGGTTCGAGAAGGAAGTGGCGTGATACTAGTCACGTGACCTCGCTGACGCAACACTGCCCCTCCTTAATATTGTTCGTCCTGAACATTAGCCACTTACATTAAACCAATAACAATTAACAATAACTTAATAAATGTACAGAATTACAAACACAAAATTACAATTCAACAAAGTCTCTTAATTTTACGGGAAGTATCTTCTTCCGTAATGGTCTCTGTCTCGTCGGCTTCTGCTTCATATGGGGTTCATGTGCTTCATCAGGAAATGTTCTATCGTCGATAACAGTCACATCAATGGTAGTAACTTCATCAAGAGCTTCACTGTTTCCCTTCTCAAAACTGAGTAGAGTTTCTTCTCCGAGGGTGGCCTTTTCAGGTGGCACGTATTCAGCAGCATCATTTGTTCTGTTGTTCACTTCATCCCAACTGAAATGTCCTGGACCGTGATAACGCCAAAGCCTGTTCGCATGCACCACTTTTGGCTTAACTCGCCGACCACATTTTACCCGGAAAGTCACGTCTGAGAGGCGATCCACTATGTCATATGGGCCTTCCCATGAAGAAGACAACTTAGGAGACTTCCCTTTGGTCTTCCTGGGATTATACAACCATACTTTGTCTCCAGGTACAAATCTGACTTCATTAGATCTCTTATCATAAGTTAACTTCATCGAATCAGCAGACGTTTTCAAGTTTGAACGCACTTGATGGTGAATATAATCCATCCTTTCCGATAACACTTTCACAAACTCTGACACATTCTCAGGCAACTCTTTATAAGGTGGGCGTTCTATTAGCAGATCCACTGGCAACCGAAGTTCCCGACCAAACATCAACTTTGCTGGAGTGTATCCAATGATTTCATGCTCTGCTGTCCTATAGGCGATCAACAGTGGAGGGAGTAAGACATCCCAGTCATCTTGACGGCTATTACAAAACTTTGCCAATTCCTGTCCCAGTGTCCAGTTGGACTTTTCTACCATCCCATCAGACTGTGGGTGAAGTGGCATTGTCCTGGTCTTTCGGATGCCAAACAACTTGCAGCATTCTTGGAACACAGCTGATTTAAATTTACGGCCTTGATCTAAATGCAGTTCATATGGCATACCAAATCTGAAGAAGAAGTCACTAATAGCCGAAGCTACAGTTGTAGCTTCCTGATTTGGTATTGCATATGCCTCAGGCCACTTGGTGAAATAATCCATCACCACACAAATGTACTTGTTTCCAGCACGACTTTGGAGCAGGGGACCAGCAATGTCGACGGCTACTCTTTCCATTGGTGCGCCGACTTGATATAACTTCATTGGCGCACGTCCCTTATGCTTGGGTCCCATTTTAGCACAACATGTACCTATCAGTAAAATCTGTGTCGTAGGTGACTCAATGTTTTC